ATTATTATTATTATTATTATTATTATTATTATTATTATTATTATTATTATTATTATTATTATTATTATTATTATTATTATTATTATTATTATTATATTGTTAAGCAAACGAATTACTACATCAGAATGCGAACACAAAAAATACCTAAAACTAACATGTCACAGAACCTGTGAAGAACAAGTAGCACAAGAAGACATCATTACTATGAGAATCTCAATCTCAATTGAGAACTCAATGTTGAATCTTAATTAACAACTTCTAATGTTCTGTTTGTATTATGTTCTAGTCTGTAAGCTGCCCTGAGCAGGTTTATTTTATTTATTTGTTTGTTTCATCTATAGCCCGCTCTCCCCAAAGTCGGCTCACGGCGGATAACATCAAACCACAAAATACAATTTAAAAACCTCTAAAACAGCATATAATTAAAATAAAATAAAATGTATATACAACAATTCTATAAAATCCCAGATGGCATATGAAGGGGCAATTTTCAGACAACTGTGAAGGGTAATGGGGGGACACAAGGAGAGGGGGTAAAGGGAGACGACGGGAAGAGAGCACATAAAATGTTTCTAAATCATTAATGATTAAATAAAAAGTAATTCTGTGACCAAATGATTGGATAATTGTACAGACTTACATGCATAAGACATGCATTGTGAATGAGGCAGGGATTTAAACAAGGTACAAGCAATCACTTCAATGCACTTCAGGTGCTAATGGACCCAAATTTTGTTCTATTGCTTCAGTCCAACATGGCTACATCTAGTACACCTAAACATTTTGCCATGGAGCACTCATATCACTTTTTCCCAGAAAAGCAAAATGAGACCTTTTTGTTTAACTCTCAGGTACAACATTCTCCATTTGCAATGCAGTTCTCTCTCTAGAACACTGAGTCACAAGAATGAATTCAGGCCTGCAAGTTCAGGATACAATTTTACATTTCAAGTATGAATGCCATTTTGGTCCCCTTAGCATGCTTTTTATTATGTTGACAAAAACACAAGACAGACTGTAACCCAATACTGAAGACTGGGGTATCAGAATGACTCTCCCTCCCTCCCTCCTGTTGAACATAATTCCCTATTATTTAAAGTCCAAAAAATGGTGGGGGGGGGGGGGGGAATGAAAAATATACTGAGAGATTTGGTGAGGTCTCTCAAACACCATACATTACTCGTTAAAAATGACACAAGATGGGAATGTCAGGTTTTGATGACTATACCACATAGAACAGGTTTCATGATTCCCTACCCTTGCTCCCAGTTTCTTAACCACTGAAACCAGGCTACATGCTGCAAGAATGGAGAGGTCATGAAAGAACGCAAGAAGACAAGGGAAGGGAGTGTGCATGTTTATATGATTGAGATAACAGGGAAAAGGTGTCTTATTGACACTAGAGCACTATCTCAAGCCTAACAAGAGGCACCAGGTAAGTGTGCATGTTTATATGAAAAGTCCTATGGGATACTTCCATGATGGTACACTGTCCGGGCTCAAGAAGCAGCAGACAGCTGTGGAATCTTATTAATTATTTTCTACCACACACGTCAAAAGGAATATGCTATTTCTAAAATGTCAGGCAATCCATTAATAAAACAAATACTTGCACATATTATCTAAGGGGAAAAGCCTGCATTCCCTACTAAAGTTATATCTGCAACATGAACAAGGCACCTTTGGCCTATGATACATGGGTGTTTGCCTTGCTTTCACTGTGCATGTCCGACAGGTTTTATTTTTCATTCTGCTTTCTGACAGTGCTTTTGTGTCGTTTTCCCCTTGCTTTGCTTCCAAGCCGAAGGTTATTCGAAAGCATACAGATTCCCTCAGATTTCCCCCCACCCTTTTCCTGCCCCTTGTAGGCCACACCCATATCCAGGTCATTCTGCCCACTCTGTACCTTCCCCCATTCATTGGTGCATCCCTCACTGTTTGACATTTAATTTTTTTACACGCAATCTCAGTCTAGCAATATGAGACTGATGCTAGTCTCAGATCGCAAGGAAGGAAGGAAGGAAGGAAGGACTCCCAGCTGGGCTGCCCTTTCATGCTGCCTGGTTTAAATCAGATGGCAGGAAAAGGCAGCACACAGCGAGCCTGGATGGGCTGCCCTTTCCTGCCACCCAGTTTAAGCCACGTAACAGGAGGCGGCAGTGCAGAGCTGCGCCTGCAGGGAGCCATGCTGCGCCTGCAGGGAGCCGTACGCACAGTGAGCCTGGCTGTGCTGCTTCCTCCTGCCGCCAGTTTAAACCAGGTGGCAGGAGGAGGCAGCGCAGGGCTGTGCCTGCAAGGAGCTGTTGGTTCCCTGCATGCACAGCGAGTCCAGTTGGGCTGCCCTCTCCTGCCACCCGGTTTAAACTGGGTGGCAGGAAGAGGCAGTGTAGAGCTGCGCCTTCAGGGAGCCATTGGCTCCCCCCACACACACACACAGTGAGCCTGGCTGAGCTGCCCTTTCCTGCCACCCAGTTTAAACCAGGTGACCGGAGGAGGAAGTGCAAGGCTGCGCCTCCAGGGAGTCATCAGCTCCCCACATGCACAGCAAGCCTGGATGGGCTGCCCCTCCTGCTGCATGCTTTAAACCGGGTGGCGAGAGGAGGCAGCGCAGAGCAGAATAAATACACGAGGGGGGGGAGAACAGTGCGCATGGCAAGCACAGACTCCAAAGTCAAGCTTAAAGACTTGAATGCTCGGATTCTCTGCAATAAGCTGTGTGTGCATAATGGGCTGTTGCTACAAAGCTGTAAGAACACTCTACTAATATTGGCAATGAGTACTGAAAGGCGACTTTTGAGTGTGACAGGAGGCATTATAAAACATTCACACACCCAAAGGGCTAATTAAACAAAAGAGTTGAGGATACTGAACGACAGTCTGATATCACTACGGCTTCAAAACTCGGGGTATTGCTAAATATCAAAAGCACCATTGAGCTGGCTACATATCTGACTTCAGTGGAGGGAAAGAACTCTAGAAGGGCATTCACCCTAGCCAGATGTTCTGCCCTTCCATCTGCAGTTATTCAAGGCAGGTATAATAAAAACCCCTACCCTGAAAGGCTATATTCATGCACTTCATGCGAGGTCGAATCAGTAGAGCATATGTTTTTCAGTTGCCCATTCTACAGAGAGGCTCATCTTAAAATCATTACCCCATTAGTTGATAGGATACCTGGTCACATCAATACGAACAAAGCAAGACTTCACTGGCTTCTATCCGATAAGAATGCAGAGATTACATGTTCAGTTGCTGAGTTCTGTGCATGGATTCTTAGATTGCGGGAGTCGCATTTTAAAACTTTTTAAATTTAGATTTTATTCTGTATATTATCTCTGTTTTTTCCTTCTTTTTCTTACTATGTTTGTATTGTATGCTGGTCTTAAGACCGTAATAATAAAACTAAACTAAAGATTCACACACTATTATGGTTTTGTGTATTTACTACTGCAAAAAAAAAAAAAATCCCAATTCACTCACTGCCACTTGCGCAGAGTCCATGAACCGTAGTCCAAAGTAGTCGTTTTCAATGAGGTCTAGATGATACATGATCTGTTCGAACAGATGCTGTCCTTTGGCTTTTTTCTGAAATTATAAAAATAGTTAGTTCATAAGGAGCACACAGTAGTTGCTGATTACGTTTATGTTCGAGGCCAAATTTTGCAAGCAACTGAAGACTTTTAGCAAAACACATCCCACGTTCTCCAGACATTAGTCTTATCTGCGGCTACAGAACTATCCCTAGCCAGAAAAGGCTGTTCTGGGATCCAGAGTAAGACAGACTTACGGGTACTAATACTTAAGCAATACCTGATAAGCGAAATGTGCTGAATTTTAAGTCTGTCACATGCCAAATGCTACTCTGCCATTACTCCAAAACCTTCTGCACTCTTGCTGGACTAGCAGAAAGTCAGTCACAGTATAAAAAGAGGACACAAGGTTAAAAACTGTACTTATTTCACTGAAGAGCTTTCAAGACCAGCGAAGGCCAAGAAATCATTCTCACATTGTACTCTGTTTAATGTATTTTTAATGTAGCTGTTTTAGTTGTTTGTCCTACTGCTGATTTAGCTGTTTTAGTTGTTTGTCCTACTGCTGATTTAAATATTTTATTGGTTTTCAGCATATTATTGTTTTTGTTTTTAAGCTGCCTCAATACAGTGATACAGAAAGGTGAGGTTTTTCTAGAAGCTGTAATATAAGAAAGTACTCCTGCCCAAGTCAACATGATCTTGGGTGCTGAAGAAGTTGTCTCAAACACCCTTAAGATATGCATACACAGAAGTCAAAATGAAGAGGATGTGTGCAAGTGCTTTTCAAAGAGTGTTTCAGTAAGTTCTTATGCAAACAGTATTTCAGTTGTGACCAGAAGCTTTTTACTAATCAGAATGCCAAATCAAATTGTTCACATTCAGGAACAGCGAAGGGTTGCAAGGATTTCAGACAAATGATTTCTATATTGATAAAAAGAGCATAGCGAGCATTTTCACCCTCCTTCTCTAAGAGATTCTTTTCTAAGCTTCATAATAAAATCAAAACAAAGGCAAAGTCTCTTAAGAATCCACAGGAACTTGCTGTTCTGTAAGCACACAAGATATTCTTAAATTCATTGTCTGTTCTTAGAAGTCTGTGTAAAACTAGCAAAATATTCCATTCGTTGAATCTAACTATTTTAAGAAATATATTTTAAAACTGCCACATCCTATAAGCCTTCTCCTTCCCCCAAAACCCTGGACTGTGAACCTGTTCATATTAAAGCCAAATTACACTTTACAGGCCAATGTTTAGAAAAGGAAATACAGCTTCAGGGAAAAGGGGTAAAGTTAACTTTTTCCATGCCTGCTGTCTTCCTGCTCAAAACTGCCTTCTCTCCAGCCACACCTTTGGCAGGTTCCAAACAACAATCAGTGTTCCACTGTACTAGTGGTTCCACAGTGTCCATCAAATATTTCTAGAAAGTGGATGGGGTTTGGTGGACCTGTGGCCCAGCAAGACTTCTGAATGGCCACTGGAGAGTTCATTGGCTATGCAGATATATAAAAACACGGCTGTGATGGACTGCACGTTTAAAAGCCCAGAAATGCTGTGTAAACAGATAAAGGACCGTGAAGGGTGAATTCTTCACAGAGCCAGAGAGCCTTGAGTGACAGGCTGTTCCAAGAGATCTGACTGGTTAGCATCAGCCAAGCAGAGAAAGACTTCTGAACGGGATGCTGAGGAGGATTCAGTCTGATTTCAGCCCTATCTGAGAAGGGCTGAGTACTGACAGTTTTGGAATTCAGCCCTGACTGAGAGCAGAGAACAGAACTCAGCCCTAACTGAGAGCAGAGAACAGAACAGGAGAACTGGAGGAAAGTTTTGGAATTCAGCCCTGACTGAGAGCAGACAGGAGAACTGGAGAAAAGTTGGCAAGAAAGTTAGGGAAGTGGGCAAAGACTCCCATTCAGGCCAAGGAAAGGGGATATATCTTCTAGTGAAAGGAGACTGTCCCTACCCAGTCAAACAGGGACTTAGCTCTGAAGAGTGAAGAGATCCATGGTATGGTGTGGTTAGAAACTGAATCTGAAGACCTTAAGAGTCAGCTCAAAACTCAAGACACTAGTGTTTCAAGAGAAGAGGTTTGGGTACTGTAAAGAGTGCACCAGCCTTCTGGAAACCAAAAGAGTCAGAGAATACTCAAAGAACGTGTACTGGAGTGTTTGGGAAAACAGTGCAACAAAAGCCTCTCAACATAAAGATTTAAGTAACTATGAGTAGCTTAAGAACTGAAACATAAGAACTAAAGTCTGTGCATGTACTGATTTCACCTCAGAGTTATCCAGGCCCATAGCCAGGATTTTTTGGTTTGTGGGACAATGTTTTTTTGGGGGGAGGGGGCAGCCATTATGTATTGCTGCTTTTTAAAATAAAAATAAATGAATAATGTTTTGTTCTTTACCTCCCTCCCCCCGATGAGCTGCTTCAGCAAAAAAAAACCCACCCCTAACCCAGGATTGCTCCTATCCCCATGTGGATGGAGAGACAGGAGGGGGAAGCTGCCCTGTGTTTCAGAAGGAAGGGAGTCTCATTTTGCCAGTGTTCGCTCAAGGACTGAGAGTGCCCACAGAGCATCCGAACCTGCTGAGAGGTGTTGTGCTATTGCCTCCTTTGAATGTTTTTGAAGCAGCAACACCCCCCCACACCTAGGCCCCTATGAGAATGACAGTTTGGGTGCCTACAGGGGTCAGGAAGGATCTGTGCTGAGTAAAGAGAGCCAAGAGCAGCAAGAGGAGTTATTTGGAATTGGCGGCACTGCTGCTCCCGGCATGGGAATGTAAACAGCAAGAAACAGCTCTGGAGTTGGAAGGCAGGGTTAGCATGGTCACAGGCTAATCGTCATTAGACATGGCAGGGCATGGGCAGGGCACTGGTGCGGTGCAATTTAAAGTCCATTTCAAAGCCGAAGAGCCAGCGCTGTCCGAAGACATTTCCGTGGTCATGTGGCCAGCATGACTAAACCCCAAGGCGCACGGAACGCTGTTACCTTCCTACTGAAGTGGTACCTATTTATCTACTTGCAATTTCTTGCTTTCGAACTGCTAGGTTGGCAGAAACTGGAACTAGAGACGGGAGCTCACTCTGTCATGCGGCACACTCGGGTCTCGAACTGCTGAACTACCGACCTTCCACAGCCTGCAGTTCAGCGTCTTAACCACTTGAGCCATTGCAGCTCATATACATATAGTGCAACCTTTTTGAGCTTGCGAACACCTTTGGATTTCTGACAGTGCAATGGGTGCAGCCACAGATGGCTGCCGCAAGATGGCTGCTGTAGAAGGTGGTTTGAGCTTGCGAACACCTTTGGATTTCTGCTGAAGAAGGTGAAGGCAGCCACAAAATTACTGCCACAGCTACATTCAGCCACACAGTTGAGCTCTTGTGCTGTGGTGGCAGCTGCTGTCAAAGCTGTTATGGTGGCCCTGTTCACTTCCCTACCTCAGAGGCAAGATTTTCCCTCCATTTTTCTTTCCCTTTACTGACTGAGGCACCCTAGTAATTTGTTTTCTTCTTTGCTGAAGAATTCTGGCTGTCCCACCCTGTCACAGTACAATATTGTGGCTATTGGCTCAGCCCAGGAACCTGAGGGGAGGATAACTTTAACTTAAACAACTTAAATGGCACCTGAGGTGTTTTGAAATTCAAAAATAACAAAAATATTTGATTTAACATAGAGGGGAAAGGTCAGGTAAAATCAGGGGTTGGAAAAATTAACCACCAAAAATTAACCACACATTAACCACCAAACTGGACATCGCTGGGATTGAACCTGGGACCTTGTGCATGCAAAGCATGCCCTGTACCACTAATCAACAGCCAGACAAGCTCTTACCAGTGTGGAACTGGCTCTGTAATAAAGCAGGATTAGCAGTGGTTTCAGATGGCAGATGTGTGTGGGGGAACCTCATGCCCACCCACAACTCTCCAGAGCAGCTAATACTCTTTTCTGCCTTAGTCCCCAGGTGTCTTAAAACACAGCACAACACATCCAACAGGACTCTCCCAACACTCAGGAGTTCAGGAAGCCCCATCAGGTATGCATGGCTTTTCCATGCTGTGTTTTAAGACCCCTGGGGAAGTAGCTGATGAGAAGGGTAAGGCAAAGGTTGGTGGGGAGCCGTGGCCAGAAGCCCCAGGCAGCACTTCTTGTTGAGTCACCAATGAATCAGAGACACTAGCTTTATACCAGGGCTGGGGAGCATCAACTGGAAGAGGGTTTGGCCTCCATGCCCTGCTTGTGGACCTTCTGGAGACATCTAATAGGTCATGGGCATCTGGTTGTCAAATGGACCCAGCCCCGTAGCCAGACATTTTTGGCCGGTGGGGCAGGGGGCTGGGGAGAGAACTTAATTAGATTACCCAACCGCATGTGGGGGGGGGGCGGGTAGCATGGAGGTTGGGGAGAGAAAAGGAAGCCACCCTGCAGCTTCTGGTCAGTTTCACTTCCCTCCAATCAGCTATTAGGTTTAACAGGTGTTCCTTGGGGAGTGAAACTGACCAGAAGTGGCAGGGCAGCTTCGCTTTCCTTCTCCAGCCTCCCAACCACCGCGGGGAGAGGCACACCGGGGTGGGGGGTCTGGTGTCCTTCCGGGGTGGGGCAGGGCTTGTCCCTGGTGGGGCTCTGCCCCCAAATGCCCCATCATAGCTATGGGTATGAATGGGCCATTGGTCTGATCCAGCATGGCTGCTCTGCATGTTCATTCCTGTGCAAAGACCCAACAAGAGAATCTTAACCCACCAATTACTAATGTTTCCTGAAATATGAATGCTACTCAACCAGTTTCTGT